CTCTTGACACACTCTATTATGATTTTCTTGAAATTGCCTATGTATTTTATTGCAGTGTTCTGAGCACATTTTCTTTCAGTTTTCAGCCAATAGAAATAGTCTGAAATAAATTCATAGTTCAACTCCTCCAGTAGCAGATCATCTTTATCATACTTGAACTTGATAAATCTCTGTGTATGCAGAAGAGATGTTTCAAATCTTTCTAGCGTTCCCTCACTATATTCAGAACCAATCAACGTTTGCATCCTATCGTTGTGGCATCTGAATTCAACGATCACTGATTTCTGATCTTCGTTATTTCCTTGAAGAAGGTTTTTAATCGCTTGTGCGGTTATTTCTTTCCCTTTTTGTAGGAGTAGCGTCTCTATCTGGTAGACTTTAGTGGTAATTGTATCAAGATGCGCGTTCAGCGTCCTTGCATCTTCTTTAGTTCCCGTAGCCCGATTGGTTTTAGAGTTCCATTTGTCAGCCGGCCACTGTCTTTTTGTTGATACCTCTTTCGAAATACCGTTCACTGTAATTTTTAGGTAGATGTACCTGTCTAATTCATTACTCTTGTTTTTGGGTTGTTTAAGAAAAAAAAACATCCCTAAGCTCTTTTCTAACATAACACTTGTTTTTGAGGTTAAAACTCGGGAAGAGAGTAATTCCAAACAAGATGTTTTTTAATCGAACAAGTTGATATATAGCGATTTGTATAGCTTGCATTGCGTCTTTTTTCCAAAATAAAAGACGCAATGAATGACGCCTATAAAGTTTGAGCAATTTTGAAAAAAATGATGATTTGCTGAAAACAAAAAAAGCCTGCAAATCAATGTTTGCAGGCTTTTTAAGCGCTTTGATGATAAATCGGCGGAGACGGGCGGATTCGAACCCCCGATAGAGTTTCCCCTATACACACTTTCCAGGCGTGCTCCTTCAGCCACTCGGACACGTCTCCTTAAGAGTGGGCAGCAAAAGTAAGCAAACTTTTTTCTTATGCACCAAATATTTTGTGCGCATTATTTGTCGTGATTTCCGCCAGCATTTCTACACTCATCTTTTTAAGGTCGGCCACCTTCTCTGCGATCAAGGGAATATACCCGCTTTCATTCGGCTTTCCCCGGTGAGGAACCGGCGTGAGGTAAGGCGCATCCGTTTCAAGGACCAGGTAGTCAAGGGGTATCTCCTGTACAATAGCC